GTGCGCCAGGGGGGAGGAACATTCGGGGTCGAGTAATGGGGTAGGGGGAGATGGGCGGGAGCGGGGAAGGTATCAGGATCAGGGGGGGAAAAGGTGTCGGAGTGGGGTGGTGAAGGATTGGGGAATGTGCGCGATGGGGGGAAACTCCGGGAATCCGGGGGAGAAGAAAGGGCGCGGGACGGGATGGGAAATCGATTTCGATTTCCATGGAAATCGATTTCGATGTCGATTTGGAATCGATTTCGATGTCGATTTGAAATCGATTTCGAATGGGAAATGATTTCGGTTTGAAAGGGAAAGAAAAGACTTAGGGAGGGTGAAGAAGAATGAAAAGGAAGAAGAAGAAGATGAGAAGAAGAAGAAGGAAGAGAAATAAGTAAAAATAAATAAATAAAATTTTGTTGCTTACCTGGCAACGGCGACAACGAGGATCAGGGCAGCGACGAGGAGCGTGGCAACGATGACGTGGCGCGTCATCTATGATGCTGTCGTGGCACGACGATGACGATGACGTGGCAGCGCCGAGGATGATGGCAATGATGTTGATCACGTGGCGGCGGCGTCGAAGGTCACGGTGGCGATGGAGGAGCGAACCGCTCCGATACCAGTGTAACGAGTGTGTGGCTGAGGGTGAGCCGAGGGAGAGGAGAGAGAGGGGGAGAGTGAGAGCACACACACACACTCACTCACTCGACACGACGGACTCRGACTGAGGATCGGACGCAGACATAGTGGCAAGGCACAAAGTCGAAGTCTTGGATTCCCGAATGCCGAAAACAGCAAGTCACACTGAGTACAAGTACAGCAGCAGAGAACTGGTATGAGACTGGTCCCCGTACCGTACGGCGAGCCGGTATAAGTACCGGTGACACGTACGATACTAAGGGCATTTCTGCAAAGGCCCCGAGAAAAATGCAGTATTTGAAAGTGGCGCCCGAATTGCAGTATGGCGCCAGTTGTCCAAAATCCTACGGTACCAAAGGAGGGGTTTGGAAAAAGGGTGCCAGGCCGAAAACGGGATGCAGCTGAAACAGCAAAATGATAGATTAGGGATCGAGCCCTGGCGAAGTCCGTAACAGGGTCCCTCAGGCTCTCACGATCGGTGACCCAAAAGGGAGTTTCTACAGCCATATCCAACCAGTGAACTCGGTCTCCCACATCTCTTATAGTGAGCCAGGATCGAGGTCGACTCATATAGACGTGCTCGTACACTACGACTCGGTTTTCTCGAGATCGTGGTCGTACGTGAGCGTGCACATGAACGAAAGTGGATCATACTCGGGTTTCTCGTGTCGGTGTATCGATTGTGTCCTACCTACATGCCACTATCCCACCCATACTATTTCGGGTGAGATCCAGTCATTACATTCACATCCATGCCATTCATGTGACGAAGGGAAAGAGAAGGGGAAGAGAAGGGGGGGGGAGGGGGGCAATTGCCCTAGCATCGAGGGCCAACACATCACAGCACTCTCGGTGATCTGATGACGATCAAAGGCTAACGATTAAACCCAAACATTCATAGCGAGTGTCTTTAATCAGACCCGGGATTATTGCATGACGCAGATGGATACTAGAAAGCGACAAAATTTAAATTAAGCAGGCATCACAGAACAAGACTGAAAATTTGAAAATATCACTAAAAAAGGGTTCGCATCCATTTCATGCATACACATGAGGCAAAAACGACAAAGAAAAGCCCGAAACGATTTACAAGGAAATTCCGAGAGGGCCATAACAAGATCGGTCAAAGTAGAAATCAAAATTATACAGATAATTGAAAGAAGAGACCTCATCCCACACATAGCTGCTCTCTCTCTCTGAGACTCTCTATTCTACACTCCTCGATGCGGGCAGTCTGTCGCCTCGCATCAACACAGAGTTGTCACCCCGCTTCGTTCGAGCATGCAAGCTAGGTTCGCCCGTGCGCCACAATCCGTCACGGCCCGCACGTCAACCCCGCATGCCCGACACCAGCTCGTCGGATCGCCCAACTCTCTCGTCGACTCACCTCTCAAGCTGACTCGTTAGCCGACGCTCATTGATCGCGCTAACTCTAAAGTTCATATAGAGCAAACTAATTGCGCTTGCAAAATTTATCGCATGCATGCTTGTGCGAAAGATACGGGATTAAGCCCAAGTGGTCAGGAGGAGAAGAGAGGAAGTGCCTACGTCTGCATGGCCAGGCCGCGGCGTGGGGGTCCTAGCCGCACTCCACACATCGATCCGGTCGTATAGGCGTTCAGGCCAATTAGAACAGAGTATTGAGCATGCAAGACAAAGAAGAAGAAAGCGGGCAAACACGAGGAAATCAAGAAAGAAGAAAGATACAGTTACAATCGAGTCCGCCAAAAGCGACAGTTACACAAGATTAAGGGCGCGATCGAGTCAGAGCCCAATTCCTAGTGCAGCAAGATGTGCGTGTGTGAGAAGCGCGGTGTCGGCGCGAATACCCTTACAAGGGTATCCGCCCTGGTTTTTGCAAGCGACAGAAAACAGGTTTGGTTTAAGGTTTAAGTATATCGCGCTAGGCGCGGCTGCGTCCGTGATCTACGTTGACTAAACGGCTGACTAGAGTAGAGAGTGTGTGGGCGCGCAGGTTTAAGGCGCGCATGATTCCTTTCTGTTGTTGATCATAAAGTCGGCGCGGACATCAGTCATTATGTTTAATGATATTATTAATATTTTTTTATTGGTGATTAAGCAGGAATTAGGGGTATTTTCTTTCGATGGCTACGTTTGACCGAGTCGAGCGCGCGTGCGGAGAACGACCCCGACGACGGCATCGGCAACGACGGCGCGACTAGCGGGGGTGTCGTAGGATGGCGCGCGGGGCAATTATGACACGGTATAAGCAAGCCGGCGCGGGCACTGGGAGCCGCGCAACCGGTTTGTTGGCCCATAGCGCCGCGCCGCACTGCCTTGTATGGTACTCTGCGGGCGCTGGTTTCAGGCTTGGGCATAGCCCTATAGGTTACGACAACGGAGTGTTACTAGGGAGGTTAGGGGGTCGAGGTCGAGTGGCGACGGTGCGAGAGTATCAGGGTGGCGCGAAGAGACCGAGGGGTTGAGGGTCCGACGGGGCTATCCCCCTTTGGTTTCGCCGTCCACGGCGTCGGAGCGAAGCTGGTATTCTCTTTTCCTTCGGTCGCCGTATCTTAATGGATAGAAGCGTTTAAATATATTTACTTCAGCATTGTATTCCTATTATTTTTATGCTCCGGCGTTCCGTTGGCCTGGACGAGACGCCGGACTTAAATGTCGTCGCGGCAATCGGGGACCATGAGCATGCGTCTCTTTTGACGGGCCCGGCGGGTTCCTGTGTATTCGGGATGCTGGTGGAATTTCTTTATCCCGCCCGTCTTGGAAAACATGGGCCGACGAGTTCAACGTGCATGCGAACTGGTGGGTGATTGGCACACGATGCAGAAGAAAAACTGAGTGGCGGGGACCCTCTGCGAGGACGCACTGTCCGCCTACCGTAATCCGCTGTGAGGGGTTTGAATGTGAGCATGACCATGGGGGCCCGTAGGATGCTGAACTATGCCTGTGCAAAGGGGGTGCCAATTGGGCGCTGCCGCAGGGTAGACTGTGCGGCAAGCGATTCCAGCAGTGGTTCACTTGGGGCCCTTCACCACTTCGGTGTTGAAGACCCACCCCACTTGAATATCTGTCACCAAGATTTGCACTGGGTTAGCCGCACTAAGGCTTACGCTGCGACCTTGCAGCAAAGCCAGGGGCATTGTGGGAAAACTGCAGCAGTACTGCTGCTGTGTTTCGGTCCGTCGGATCTGAGTATATGGGCGAAAGACTAATCGAACCGCCTAG